AACCATAAGCTTCCCATCCTAAAACTGTGTGATCTGGACGGCGCCTGTGGCTCAAAGGAGTAGGGTGCTGGCCCCATATGGTGGAGGTGACAGGTTCAAACCCAGCCCCGGCCAAAAACTGCAAAAAAAAAAAAAAATCATGTGCTCTTAGGTCCTAACAAGGGAGAATTTTGACATGTAAATTTGTGTTTCATCAAATCAGCTCGTATTTGGAAAGAGGACATGAAGAGGAGAGAAAAGGAATTCACAAAAATGGAAAGTCCCTTCTGCCATGGAAAGGAAGGAAAGGCAAGAGAGATAAGTGATGCTTTAGCTATCAAGATACTCTCAAAGGCCCAACTGCATGATATTTATAATAGATGAAGCCCCTGGTCTTGAGGATATAAAGAGATACTTTATGTTACTAGAGACCACCTGTTATGGACTATTTATAAACAGAAGCTCCTAGCAATATACCATTTTCTATGTTCAGGTACCAAGGTCAGAACATTAGAAGTATTATTTTACTGCACACTCAAAACAGGTGGGGATTATATTAAATGAATCATTTTACTTAACCTTTACAATGACCTCATGAAGCAGGTACCTGTATCACCCCCATTTCTAGAAGACTCGTTTGACTTACAGAAGTTGAATGATGTGCCCCTATTACACGTTGATTAAGTGACAGAGCTACACACCTAAGCTTTTCACCACTCCACAAAATTGCCCCTCGTCACCATTGCCAATAAGCCCACAAAAAGGTAAGAATCTCTGGGTTTCTATTCCAATCCTGCTGTTCATTCACTAATTGGAATCTTTCTCATGTTACAAAAATATCCTGAGCCTGCTTTCACCACTGGAAAATAAAAGTAATTACCATCTACTCCATGAAGTTATTGTGAATATTAAATGATGTTTAAGTGACCATAGAATGCCCAACTTATAACAGGTACTAATTAAATATTAAACTACTACAAAAATTCAAAGTCTGAAAGTCTGTTGATGGCATTCTCCTGAAACACTGTGATTAGACGCCTAGCGGTTAAAGCAAACATGTGTTTAACTCAAACAAATAATTTAATAAACAGTAAGTAGCTGGTAAAATGTCAGTCCACAGAAAGGTTTAACAAAATAATTTATTCAGGCAACTCCCAAAACCTAGGCGCGGATTACCTACGGCTGATGGATATTCCAAACAAGCCCCGTGTGTGCTCGCACCGTGCGGGACAGAGAAAAGAGGGGCGAACGGAGAGAAACGTGGAATGGGAAGATCCTACGTGCTTTGCTCCTGCAGCTGAGATGAAAAGTCGGTTCATCCAACTCCAAACTTCACCTTCCTTTTCCTACATCATGTTGTTTCCTGTAGTATGAGATTGATGAAGAAAACCTTTCATTCAAGGGCATTTTTTTGTTCTCGGTTCTGATGAGTAAGGAGTCTTTCATATACTAACACCCCAAACAGCAACGATTTTGAAATTATTTTAAAATATTGATGAGGCTTTTTTTTTTTCATTTTTATCAAGTGCATATCCAAAGGCTCCTCGTCTCATAAATCTCGCATGAAAATAGCCACCTATGGCAGTAGTGGGGACCTAGGTTTGAGGTCTGGCCCTGCAAGTCACCCAACTCTGTAACCTAGTTACCCTGCGCATAAAGGGCGGATTGGAAGCGAGTTTATCCTAAAGCCCCTTCCTCTGGAAGTCCCTGTAAAATAAGCAGAACTAAAACGCTACCTCCTTCCGCTTTTTCTAGTTAACTCAGAAGTCTAGCAGTACTACAGATTCTCATTATCCAAAAATATTGCCTGTGTTTTTCCATTAAAATCGAGGTGAAACAAAAACGACATTTAGCAATTTATGGGAGTTAGCATTGTATTATCTGGTGATTATGTTATTCCTTCCCCTCTTTTTTGCAAGTGGCGTGTGCACAGTAATTTTCCTTGTCATGATTCTATGCCTTCTTCACAGCGCATTTTGCCAAAGAAACATCGGACATAAATGAACACTCGCAGGTATCCTAGCAACAGGATGTGATTAATAATACCTCTCAGAGCAGGACAGATAAAATGCCTGAAAGTGAACGCAAACTCAGAATTGGCTACTGAGAAATTGGTAGTGCAGTGAGGCGAGCTTGTTAAGATTCCAGGACAGATTTTATTGTACAGGGATAGAAGCAGCCAGAAGAGAGAACGTATTTTAGAGGGGAGATGCTATCTAAGCATGAAAATATAGTATACATGTGTGTAAATATACACACGCATATATGTATATATAGTGTACACACAGATACATGTATAATTTCCTTTTCCTTGGAATTTGATATGAGATACTGACTTATAACACAAATGCCCCTACTCATTATCATCCAACTGCCTGCAGTTTTAAGAGATTAGAGACAATCCCTGTGATTAGGAGACAACTTTTATACTGAAGTACTAAAATGTATTGTAAATTGATAATAGTTGATGTTTCTCCTTGGGACAATACCAACAACCTGAAGTCTAAAACAGCTGTTAAAAATATCAGGTTTACACAAATAATATTCATGCCATGGGAATTTTAGTGTTCAATTAAATACATTTTTGTCTATAAGAAAAAGAATTTTTACCCGGCAAATTCAGTTTTTATGAGATCGTAGTCCATTTTTATTCTTCCCCAGTGGAGGGCTGCATCCTGGTTTCAACAGCAATGAGATGCAAACCATACTTTAATGTTTTGTTTTTGAACTAGAATCTGTGATAAAGTAAAGCATAACTAGGGCAGAATGTGTGTTCATTATTCTGAAAGCCTCTTCATTATTTTATCACCCACTTTTCCAATACGATAGTTTTCTGGGTTGTCATTTGTAATCTACATACCTGCTAAAAGCTCTGTTCTTGGTTGCGTTTTCACTAAATCTTAGCAGTACTATAATTTACTTCATGTTCTCTGGTGTTTTAGGATGAATTGGAGCATTTGTGTTCAAGGCACAGTACTAGGCATCAGGAGACTGAAAGGGCTTAGCAGTTAAGGAGGCCACAATCCAGCTGGGGAAACAGGCCCACAGTGAATTATGAACTAAGCATGAGTAAGGGCTAAGGCAAAGGCCTAAACAAAGGGCTTTGGGAGCACAGAAACGGGTGTTTAACTGTGCAGGACGTGGGGAGTTTGGGCAGCTGGCCCAAATGAAAAGGCTTCAAGGAAGGACTGGCATCCAGCTGAGCTCCAAAGGATGAACAGGGTTTTGACATACAAGAAGCACGTAGCAGGATATTCTAGGAAGCAGAATCCATATGCATGGGGAGTTGGGGTGGGAAGGGTAATTCCAGGCACACTGGCTAAGGATTCTCTGTGGTGCTTAAGGGGTGGCAGCAGGAGGTAGGTTGTGGCCAAATCATCCAGAGTTGTATCAAGGAATGTAGATTTTAATATTTAAGAGAGATTGAGATTGTAGGGACAGAAAACCAATGAAACCAGTTAGGAGATTATAGAAAATAAATAATCCCAGGGTGGTGGCAATGAGAAAGGAAAAGAGAGATCTGAAAGGCCGTATAGAGGGAGAGTGTGAAAGGCTGAGGGACAGATGACATGCAGAGACTGTGAAGGGGAGAAGCCAGTGGTTCCCAGGTTTCAGACATTTGTTTTGGTGACTGAGCAGATAACACCAAGGATGAACAATTTCATAGGGAAATCTAACGCTGTAGCCTAGGGCTATGTGTTGAAGTGCAGTAGACACTGCAGGTAGAAATTTTCAGTAGGCTTAAAATCTAAGTAGATTTTGGAGCCAGAGACGTAGTCTCAGAATCATCTCTTTTTACAAATGCAAACATTTGAGAGAATCAGACATAAGAGTCTTCATACAGAGCAAGATAAAGAGAATAAAAAAGGAATCCCAGAGTGTCATCTCCATTTAAGCAGTGCAATCTCTATGCCTCTTGATCAATACAATGTTGTTTGATTCATCTAATTTTAGTCTTTCTAGTTTGAAGTTTAGTGTATAGTATAACGAAGAATAGAAATCTGAGTGGATTCCTATAGCAGAAGTAATTTATGATAAAACTTACAGATAACATTTATGTAGCACTACACAGTTCATAGTACACAGGGGCGGATAGTTTTTTGAGATCTTGGTGGAAAAACATTAACACCCATGCCTTCCAGCATCCTTTCTGAAACACGGGGCCCCAATATTTCAAGAGAATTAAATCCATTTCTTGTTGTCTTGCCATATAAAATTTTTTAATCCTCATAGCACTCCAGAGAAGTAGGTTCTAATTCTCACTTTACAGATGATAAACTCAGAGAGACATGGATTTTCTTGAAATTATTATTACTGTAGGTGTTTTATACTGAGTAAGTAATAAATTACCATCAACTTTTATGATATGTGTAACAGTTTTCCCAGAATTAAGCAGCTTCTAACAATAGATTTTTGTCATCTCTGAAGACAGCTTCCAGGACTCTGAAGTAGCTCACTGAAGCATTCTGGGTCTGCATCTTCTATGAAGTTAAAGTCAAGATGATGGCCAGAGCCACAGTCATCTGAAGACTTGATTGGGGCTGGCAAATAGGTTGCTCTTATTCTTGAAAGTTGATACTGGCTGTTGGCAGGAGACTTTGTTCTTCTTTATCAGCTATTGAAAGGAGCTCATTTCCATCCCCCTTTTGAGGGATGTCTCATTTCGGGTTACATTGTCTGTCCTTCCCTTCTCAAGTAGGTTGTAAGATGTCCTGGTCTTAAAGTGTTGCGCTGTTTTCCCCATAGTGCTGACTGTAGGGATTTGCACTTTGTAGGCACATTTTGGAACAAATGACTCGTAACTAACAAGATTTTTTAAATCTTATATCCTATTTATTTATTTTTTGACTTGTCCAGATGGGTTTTAGAGCATTTTTGACTGTGCCCAGTCATCTCCAAAAGCATGTTGGATGTGGCTGGAGTAGCGATTGTGTTTGGAAATTGTTAACTGGACTTTCATCTTGTTTACATCATATTCTCATGGCCCGACGCTGTGGCTTATCTGTCATTTCTCATTTCAGGGGGAGTGGAGAAGAGAAGAGAACAAAAAGCAACTTCAGGTAAGGTTTTGTGTACTTGTTACTGGCTTTATTTCCTGCTTTTATTTTCACCTATCAAACAATCTATCTCTAATATATTAGTTAAAAATTCACTTCTAAAATAATAGTTTGTGGTTGATTGACATTAAATTGATTAAAATAAGATTAATACATTGACCTTTTTCGTTTTCACATCACTCAATTGTGCCCTTTTCACTCTCTCCTTCTATTCAAAAGAAAATGAGATGGAATGTGTTTAATTTTTTTCATGATTATCTGTGAAAAGATATTACTATACCAATTTTTAATACAGACATCATAATAGTTGTCAACCAGTTTATTTCCCCAAGTGCCCATGAATCTCAATTGTGTTTCTTAAAACCATTTATGTAATGGATGTTTTCTGGGGCAATATTAACTAACTGAGAAGAATCTTTACATTTTGAAGAAATTGTAAGAATGTTTCCATTTCCAAATTCTGTATAGGTCCAGAAGTGAGTGATGCTTTGGCAGAGTACCGCATAGTAGGGGGCAATATTTGCTAATGAATATAAAAATAAGTTTTTATATTTCCATATTTTCACTACTTAGCTTTTGACTTAGAGTTGTGAGGTATGATAAAAATTTTCATTTACCAAATAAATCTTTGCATAGGGCCAGTCTTCCAGTTTACAATACCCAGTAATCTCAGAGAATTCTAACTTGTATATATCCCTGTTCCCATCGCCCTTCCCAAGTCCCCACCAACCCTCTTTTCCCATGATATATGAGAGCTGCCAATGTAAAGGTTACCACTCCATCACTCCCAAGCTTCATTCAGCTTCAGTTTTCTTTGTCTTGTATTAAGGCATTATGTGTGTTTCCAAATAGTCAAGACAGTGGTCAAGAGAACACAAAAATATACGTGAATCTAAAACTGTATCAACAGCATAACGTCCTTTCTCTGTCCTAACCTTAGCCTTCATCTCAGACAGGTGAACAACTGTTAAGTTTGATTACTTGCATTCTTTGTGGAACTTTTAAAGTCTAGTTACGAACACACACACATGAAGGACAGAAGGTGTCTAGTCTGCTTAGAGACATGATTCCCTCCATTACTGCTCCTTGAGGGGAAATTATTTGCACTGTTTCTAAACTACTACTGCTGTGATGTTATAGGTGCTGGCTGGCTTCTTGGTTTACAAAATGTTACAGTTTGGAAGAAAGTACTAAATTGGCCAAAGTGTTAAACCACAACCTCTTTAAGTTCCTGCCATCTTTGTGACTTCTAAACTTCTGTGTGACTGAGGTGACATCAGAGGTTAGAGACAGAGGCAGAACAAGAACTCAAGTTTATTCACTCCCTGACCTCTGCAGTGCTCCACCCTCCTAACCTCTTTTCAAAACAAAGCGCTAGTCACTTTCACACTGTGTTCAGTTACTTGTGTAATAAAACATTTTTCACCAATTGGAAAATCTTTTTATGGCACCGGTACCTTTGGCAGGGAACACTGGTCCCTAGGGTTATGAAGAAGCTTCCTTTACTAATGACGGTAATTTGTCTCACCGGATTCCTACCTCGTCAGTGTCCAATTTCCATGAGACTGAAATCAAGGACAACTAATGGATAGAGCCCAAATTAATGGGGAAAATTGTTGTATGAGCTTATCATCTCAAAGGATACCAATCATGCCCTTGGGAGATCTGTATTTAATTTTTAAAAAAACCCTCAGTTTTCAAGATGAGAACATAATGTTTGCCCTTACAGTCAAAAATAATTCAATCAGTCTGTGTGTACACATCTTTAGATGAAACTATGTCTGGGATACCAGGAATTACATCACAGCTTCCCTGTTCCTGACTTCCTGCCTGGACTTCTTTCTGTCCTTTGTTGTTAAGTTTCCTTGGATTCTATGTCCATGCTTGTTTACGATGACTATATACTCTACACCTTAACTTCTACAGCTGGGTCCACCTCCCAGCTGAGGAAGATCAGTGTTATTAGGTCCTGGAACCTTTCAACTTACCCTATCCTATTGCATGAATTGTGAGACACCAAAGAATTCAGAAAAAAACCCCAAAAATATAGGTTCTTCCAAAAGTCGCTATACATAGGAAAAATGGGAGATTGTAGCTAAATAAAAATATATCTTTATTTACAAAATATTCCCTACAAAATTTTACAAACAGGTGGCCAACACATAGAGAATATTTTGGAAGTACTCTGTAAAATTTTGTAAGAAATATTTTGTAAATAAAGGTACAGTTAGCTACAATTTCCCATTTTCTCCTTGTTTGGCAACTTTGTGGGTGACTTCTGAGACACCGTCTGGACAGAAGTAGTTCCCCATTAAAATAGGCATCCACCAAGACCCTCATTTTTTGGTTTATTAAAGTCAATTCTTTATATGAAGAATCTTGCACTAAGAGGAATGTTATGTTGAGGTACGTTTTTATTTGGGATTAAAAAATGACTTCCTGGCTCAGTGCCTGTAGCTCAACCGGCTAAGGCGCCAGCCACGTACACCTAAGGTGGCGGGTTCAAATCCAGCCCCGACCCGCCAAACAACAATGACGGCTGCAACCAAAAAAAAATAGCCGGGCGTTGTGGCAGGCGCCTGTGGTCCCAGCTACTTGGGAGGCAGAGGCAGGAGACTCGCTTTAGCCCAGGACTTGGAGGTTGCTGTGAGCTGTGAAGCCACGGCACTCTACCCAGGGAGACAGCTTGAGGCTCTGTCTCAAAAAAAAAAAAAAAAAAAAAATGACTTCCTAATAAGGAAAACTCTCCAGGACCAGAAGGAATGATTGTCAGTAAAGATGTACAGGGGTGGAACATTCCCTCAAAGAATGTTGGCAAGAGATTCATGAGGACTTCAGTTACTAAGGTGCTTTCTAATTTTGTGTCTGTGGTTCTACTCACCGTTATTACTTAATTGAATTGTCTCTACTACTATGTGTGTATGGATCAACACAAGAAAAACACTCAAATGGCTCATATCCCATTCTGGAGCTGAGTAAATCATATTCCAAAGCTTAAGATAACTTAGTTTGGAATGAATTTGTTGGTAGAGCACCCAGCTGATGGGGCCACAACTGTAGTCTTGTAGTCTATTAAATGGCTTTTGTTTCAAGTCAGTCCACCTTCTAATTGCAACCCTGGCTGTAGTTTCATATATATGATGCTATTTTTCATAAGTCAAGAATAACTCATAAGAGAATATGCATAACTTGGTATTATGCATTGTCATTACTGAAAAACCATTCAAAGCATATGCCCTTTGACACTAAGGTTGGAAACTTATGTCATAGGTTTCATACAACATGGACAGGAATATCAAAGCTAAATTGGATTATTTGGCTTGATAAAGAATATGAAAAATAAGGGTGGTATGACAAATGGAAAAAAATACCAGGAAGCAAAACCCTGATGTTACAGATTTTCTGTTTGCCCTTGATTTTTCAATCTCTTCACAAGAAAAATAGGGGGGGAAATGATACTATATTCAATAATTTTACATAAAAGCTCTACTATTTGAAGTACCTTTATTGTCTCAGACAAAAAGGCCTCCTCTGGAGCCATGCAATTCTTGATATTAGAAAGAAACACAGCATAGAACACAAAGAAGAATTCTTGTAAGAAGAATGTTTCACAAGTTATTGTTTAGAAACTGCTCTGTTAGAAAACTAAGGTAACCTGTGGAACCACCATCTGTTACGTATATACTGCTAAATGTATACTGTCCCAATTTTTCCAAGAAGAATCCTTTCAAATTCAGTTAAACATGAAGGAAAGAACAGTCCTAGTGGACTAGAGAGTGATAAGTAGGGAGGGTAATGAGTCTTTTAAAACGAAGTTGCACACTTTTCATTCACGACATTAGAGTATCCCTAAGATTAGAGGTGGTTTGTTCATTTGCATCATTTGCAAAAAGTTACCCACGGACTACCATGTAATTTTCTTTCTCAACTCAAAAAGTGAAATTTATTATTGGAAATTTAGCAAATGCAGAACCTCTGCTTGGCAAGCTCAGTCCCTTGCCTCTTTTTTTCAACAGGACTTGTTTCTCAGAAGTGTTCTACAACAGCAATTGTACTTCAGTTCTAAAGATTTTAACATACGTTGAACATACACCAAAAAAATAGTTCAATAGGTACTGAATAAAATCTTCCACCTATATGTGAATAACACACTCACTTTCTTATCTGTTATTTATTAAAAGCAAATTTTCAAGTACTTGCATATTTAGCATGATTTTCCTGTATACCATCCCTATTTTTGTAGTGCTTTTTGCCACTTGCCTAGACACCATCAAAAAAAAAATAATAATAATCATGAGAAAACCTAATTTGTCTTACTTTTAATTATTATTACCACCATTAAACACACAAAGTTTGCAGTAGAAGACATCACAATAGCTACATTTAAGTAAACTGTCATTCTTGTAAAGCCCATCATTTCTAGACATCAATGTTCTTTGATATTCTACATGTTTAGTTCTTGCTTTGAAGATCATTATTCCAGGTAGAATCCTGCTTGAAAATGCTTATCATCCTAATTTGTTTATAGCTTATAAAAGCCCTTTTTATTGATCTCAATCTCATTTGACCCCAGAGATGGAATATGAGACATTTCTCAGTTGATGCATTGAATTTGTTAAATGTTTTCATGGTGGGGATCCTGGACTTTATATTGGAGATGCAAAAGGTGAATAAGATTTAGGATACGTGTTCACAATTTATTCCTTTTCAGCTCAGGGAACAAAGCAAGTACACATGATTATAACACAGCGTGAGGAGGGCCTTTTAGAAAATTATGTATAAAGTGTCATGAGGAGTTCAAGGAGGGCTTTTCGGAAGATGTGAGACTTGGGTTCATCCTTGAAGAAAGATTGGGAGGAGTAGTTTACCAGGAAGAGAAGGGGAAAAGGGTGGCTTTCTGGAGAGACAAAAGTGGGAAAAAGCATCAACTGTCTAGGGAAAGCTCCTTAATGAGATTGGGGCACAGTAATAAACAGACAAGAAGCAGGAGATGTGGCTAGAAA